CAGCTCATGTCAAGCTTTTCATCCCCCAGTCCCCTCAAGTCCTTCTTGGCAGGGCTGCTCGCAATCTCCTCATCCCCCAGCCTGTACTGATGGTGGGGGTTGAAGCTGGGAGCAGCAGTCCTGCCAAAAATAGTTATAAATGACTGCATAGTTCCTAGCTATAGCTCAGGAGTCAAATAAGATCCTTAGATAATGAAGGCTGTTCTTAGGTAAGGCAAAAGTTCATGAACTTTGTAAATCATGTGATGTTATCTTGTGTTATCCACAAACACCTGAATTCTGATTTTACTTGGACATTACTTATATTCTCAGAAAGCAGCCAGTATCTGCAGACAAAAGAAAAATCCTGGAGGAGTGAACACAGTGAAAGGCAGAGTTGAGCGGCACACTGCGAGGGAGGGGAGGCTTTACAAGCACTGTATTTAGTCCTGTTGGATAAGGGTATGCCCTCAGTTTTTGCACCCTTGCAATATTAGTGGTAATTAGTGGGATGAGAATGCAAGTATTACTTGAAGCGTATGAGCCAGAATGAACACCGTCTCCAAAACTAACATAACAAAACACTGCTGAAAGCAACAGCTACCTAACCTAACTAGGCAGTGGGAAAATGAAAAGATAGCTGTACAAAGTGCCAGAGTGAAAGAGGATGAAGTCTGACAGTTGTCTTATTCTAAGACAAGTGATGGGCAATGTCTGGCTCTTTGAGCTAGGTGAATATTACCCAGAGAGCACAAAAGTCAAGATTCCTAAAGACAGAGGGAAAAGGGATTCTGAAAGTGCATTAAACCCTGTCTCCAGGTTGAATGAACTGCAGTGCCAATGAAGATGCACTCATGCAGGGTTGTGCTGTTCTTTTATCCCATCCTTCAAGAGCTACTACCTGTGGAATGACTGCTTCCCAGCTTTGTCAGCCCTGGCAGCATTTTGTAGCTGGTTCTGTTCTCATGGTACGCAGTCAGAAATTTTCTTGGTCTTGGAATTATTTAATTTTAGTGTTAACCTTCTTTTGCTTCACAGGATACAAAGTTCGGCCAGTGGAGTACAGCTGCTTTTCAAAGTTCTGAGAAAGAAATGAAGTTTTTTAGATTGATGGGTGGCTTTAAAAAGGGCTCTGTGCCTATCCAGAATCTGTCAGCAGCTACAAACAAACCGAACATGGCTCTGAACAGGGAGGGGGAGGAGAAGTTACAGCAGGCTCTGAAGATGGAATTCGATAAGGCAATGGACTTCAAGCAGCACAGAGGAATTGGTCTTGGATATCAACCTGCTGCCAACAAAAAAGTATACATAGACAAATACACATCTAGATCTATAAAATTTGAAGATTAACACTCTGAAGTAATAAAGGGAATAAAAATTCAACAGGCAAATTTCACTTTCCACATCTTTTTACTTGAAATAAAATACAAAATGTTTAAAGAAAATTGATTTATGAGGCACTTTCAGTACAAGTTTTCAACTGCATACACCAGATTATGTGGAGCTGGGTCCTCACTTCTGCTAAAAAGTACGTTTTCGAAACCTTTACACTATTTTCTACAAGGCAAGAAACAGCCTCCTTCAAAGACTGAAGATATGTGGCCAATGCCTGCAACAAGCTGGAACTTAGTAATTTTTTTTTTTAAATGCTGATTTCAGAAACTTATTTTTAGCTACATCTTAGTGATTCAAAAGGATTTTAGTATTCTATAAAATCTTCACATTTTACACTCAGTGAGTGGTACAAAGTGATGGCGTTTTACTTTGAAGAAACACTGCTGGTATGCCTACAAATTTGATGAGGGGAGACTCAACTCAGAAAGTAGTTTCTTAAATATTAGCATTTTCATTATAATAATGAATAGCATTGAACATCCTGTGTATTTTAACTGTGCTCTGGCAGTTGGATTTTCAGGCAGCAGCTGTTACCTGTAAATGAAGGTAAACACTTTCTGGATAGCGGCACCAAATACATGGATCTAGACTTCCTAAATTACAGAGAGCAAGGTAATTTTAATAATACACTTGTTGGGTTCACTGTACATCAGTCTGAATGAGATTTCTAACCTTTAGATTTTCAGACAACCTGCATTTTCACTGGCTTTTTAATAAGAGTACAAAATACAAGACTGCATTTGTGTAGGTCATGTTCAGAATTCAGGGGTCCAAAGCAGTCTGTCAGGATCTTGCCTGAAGTTCTGAAAAGACTGAAAAACTGTCGTGTATTTTATTACTGGCTGTGCCATTGGTTACGAGAGACAGTGGCGCTAAGTTTTACCGTAGCTCTGGCTCTTAAGCAGGACAGGGTGACCATCTGCTATGTCCGTGCCTGCTGCAGCGTAACAGCAGACGACTTACAGGGGAACCCCAGCCCCCCAGAATTCGGTTATTATCTCTGCTTACCCAGATAACTGTTTTTCTGCCAGATTACCTATCCTTTTTGGTAGAATGTACTGAATGTACTAAATGTAACTGATGTACTAAATTTCTTGCTCTTTTGAAGCAACCTCACTTTCCACAATAGTCTTTTTCTAGTGGACCACTTTACCTGAAAGCGGGTGCCTCCAGCAAAAAACACTTAACAGAACAGCAGTTGGTTCCAGTGCATTGTGGGCAGCTCCTGAGGGGAAGTTAGGCAGAGGCTCCAGCTAAGGGGTTGCCATGAATCCATTCTCACACCTAGGAAGAGGGAGATGCTTAACCACTTCCTGCAGGGAACTTGCCTTTGAGGAAACCTCTCCTTTAAAAAGTGTCATTTAAAACCACCACTACCTCATGGTGAGTCTGTTTTGCACCAGTGCTCTCAAAGCTCAGCAGCTGGCTTCAGCTGGCTCTTCAAGGCCTCTGCTGCTGCTTTGCTTAAATTCAGGTAGTGGAGGTTCTGTTTTCTCTTCTGATTTAAGACAAATGCTGAATTCAGGCCCTTAGCTACTTGCCTGGCCAAAAAAATGAGTTAAAGGAACAGGGAGCGAAATGTCAACTAGTGACTTCATTTAGGAGGAGAGGGACAGCACATACAGCTTTCTGCTGCAGAGCCAGTCTTGGATGGGTAGTGACTGGTCTTGCACTCCCACTGATGAAGATGCTGCACGTGGTACTAGTCCTAGCCTTGCCTTTGCATAAGGACTCTCCCATCTAGAACTGCATTACGTGTGCCGGTGTGCTGCTCAGCTGTAGGCCTGGTATCTTGCTTTTGATAATCCTGTCACAGGAAAATGTCATAGTTTGAAAAATAAGACACACCTAGGGAAAAAACTGTCAGAATTTTTCACTCAGTCAAACTATACTGGCCTGTATAGGTGCTATATAGAGGAGAAAGAGGAGGTCCACAGTAAGTAGAGTGCTTTAAAATTAATTTTGCTGTAACATGGAAGTAAGCCAAAAGCAGTTTATTAGAGTGGTTGTGTTATCTCCTAAGCTAGACGTTTAAAGTTTGCTCTTGGTAACTAACCAGAGGTTTCTGCCTGTCATTGAGCTATTTTTGCACTCATAAAAATAGCAGTAAACCACTTGAAGCATTTCTTGTGGCAGTCTTGCATCAATAAAGAAACTAAAGTTACACTGTGCTCAGAAGACAACAGCCAAAACTTGGTGCCTGCATGGGCAAGAGGAATGGCTGGGACACTGGTAAGCCTGCTGTAAGAGTATCCATTTTACAGAATCTGTAACTCCTCCACGCTGGCTTTAGAGCAGTACATTTGCTCCCGGAGAGCGATTTCTGCCATGCCACAGCTGCTTGGTGTGACCCACTTGGCGGTTTAGAAAGCTCAGAATTTAATCCCACTTGCCCAGTTTGTGGTTTGTGTTTCCAAGCCCAACAGGAAGAATCATCTACGTGCTGTTAAGAGTTGTTCTGCGCAGCTGCAGCAAGAAGTAAAGCTAAATTAAAGTGGGACACAATAACATATGCAGTTTTATCATTTCATTATCTTTGTGTGCTTTCTACAGAATTATTTAAGGAAAGTAAGTATAATTAAAATCGCTATGTACTAAAGGTTGGAAAGGTTCTGTATCAAGTTGATACCACTTCATAATGATTGTGTATTGCTGCAATTTTACTCAGCTTATATATATATACATATAGACTGTACCAGGATCAAAGGGTCCTAGTTCAGTTCTTTACAACCTTAACACAAAATATGTATTTCAGATGTACCCTGCTTCAATAACCACTGAGAAGATGAAAAACATGCAACAAGAATGGTTTAATAATCTGGGTGGTAGTTATTATCAGCTTGCTAACTCCTTAAATACATGGTTCTAACGAAACTGATTACTTGTTTAGCCTTAACAAAATAAAACATTTTTGTGCAAAAATCTTCATGTAAGGATTTAGTTCGCTAAAATACTTACCACTAAGCAAAAGCAGCAATAGATGCAAGGTCTCAGCATGGTTCCTTACCATGGGACAGAAGTGGCAAGAGTGAAATTTTATTCAGTGTAATAGCAGTGCGCGTAACTAAATTCCACAAGGGTAAGGTGATAAGTTTGTATACGCAAAGAAACTCCCAGAACAAACGAACTGCAAATTGTTTTATTCAGTGATACGGTGTACTTTGTGAATACAGAGAACTTTGCACACATTTCCATTTTCCTTTGCAGACAGCACTTAAAAGATTCCTTCTGTTTTACAAAACACCATTGAGCTAAAATGAAAGCATAAACATGTCTGTGAAAATGTACTGTAGACATTAGAACGGTAACACCTTGGCCATTTTTCTCTTTTACTGGAACTGACCAAATAAATGTTGGCAGCATCCCAAAGCAGAAAGATGACTTAGTAGGATTATTGTATTGAAATACAGCTTTCTACACAGGAGAAAGACTATGCTGCAAGTACGATGAAGTTTGGAGGCTGCTAATTGATCCGTGCAGATTATCTTCTTCCTTTGTTGCTAAAATAACAACAGATTAGATTTGGAAAAGCTTTTGCAACTACAGAGGTTCAAAATACCCTTTACTGAATCTCAACCAACATCTGAAATAAGAATATAGCGGTAAAACTGGAAACAAATTTAGGTTAAATTATTGCACAGAACAGTTTTACCTGTCTCCAAGTAAATCTGTCACACTAAGTAAAATAAAAATACAGTGAACTCTTCCAGTCAAAACCTAGATTGGTGATTTTTGGCCTCGGCTACATACTCTCTTATACAGATGACTCCTTGGAAAAGAGGCATTCATCAGGTCCTGGACTGCAGAGGAAGCCGATGGGCCAGCTCTGTGAAGTGACTCATTTCAGGTTGTTTGCTTTGCCTCTTGATGTATTCTAGCGTTTTCACCTGGGTATGAAAAGAAAGATATTTTGAGATTTTTAGTGTCTTATTTCATAGGCTATCATTTAATCTATGTGAAGGTGTTTTAATAGATACTCTCAAGATTTTCCCTAAAAGGTACTGGCTACGTGAGCACTTGCATTTCTTTCTCCAGGGCTTGTTATCATGTATATCTTTCTTGAAGGCTCTGGAATATCTGCTTTCCAAGATTACACTATGCAGTTCCTCCACAAAACAAAAATGCTGTATTTCACTTAAAGATAGTTTTCTGTACTGGAAAAAAGTAATAGCACCCGATTTCCAGGTTCTTTAGTATGTGAAATACATTTAAAAGTGCTAGAAAGATACAGACCACCCGAGATTATTCATTAAGAAGCATTTTAAAAAAATAAGGTGTGTTTTTTAAAGCTTTTTTTTTTAATTTTTTTTTTAAGAGAGCAACTTGTAAAGAGATTAGGTTTATTTGTATCAAGAAAAAGTTACTTTTTCCCAAATGAGTTGAAAAAGATCTTAAGAACTAAAATTTGTCCGCATTATCTGTTTTCCTTACCATAGTCTTGGTGTCAGCAAAGCCATGTTTCTGAGCAAGATTCCAGAGATTGACTGAAAGCTGGTTTAGTTTGTTGTTTCGCAGATCCCCATGAGCTAAAATAGTGTTAAAGAAACAGAGTGCCAACTGGCTCTGTCGCTTTAGGGTCTGTAATGAAAAAAATTCCTCTGTTACCATGTAGTCATCCCAAAATATCCAGCATAACCTCTCTGAGTTCTCTGAACTCTTAGAAGTACAAGGGGCAGATACTTGTTCTGTAATACGGAACAAACAATAATTACAGACACAAGAATATGGGCATAGTTTCCATGTTCTGATCAAAATGCAACAACAGTGATAATCATGAATCAGCCTAAGCTGCTGTAAATACAGTAATTACACAAGATTCCTACAGCTCATGCCACTTTGGCACAGCACAGTATGTAGCTCTGACACATTTTTAAGTCAAGACTCCCTATAATTGCATAGAAATCACCCTCCCACCAACCAGCCTTGCACTTACATCACCATGGCTATGTAATTTT